TTTCATTAAGGAGGATGTTTATTTTTTCAAACATTGTATTAAGATAGTGTCCTGTTTGCCTATTTCTATCGACATCTGCTCTGTAATACACAGAAAGATAGAAGATCAAAGTTTTAATTGTGCACATAAAAGAATGTATTAATAACATTCTTTCTGTCCTACAGCAACAGAGATAAACTTAAAAAAACCCCTCTAACAGCTCGGAGAACAGGATATTTATGTAAAGATGTCCTAACAAAAGGAAAGCATGCAGAACTACCTCTAGTGGATAAACAAACTGGGCTCCCTGTTTGCAGACTGTTCCCAATCGAACTCAGCCCTCAGAGATCCCCTCCCTCCCTCCCTCAGTCAACACAGCCAACATAGCTGGGTTTCACATTTTTATACAAACCCTTCTCAGTATTCTTTGTTCACTGACCCTTTAAATTTAGGAAAATGCAGTAGGTGTGCCTTTCAGGCCCATTTTGCTGCTAGTTGCTTTAGATTCCCTCTCCCAGGTAGTAAGTTATTTAAGGAGGAGGGTTTTTTCTTGGTCCTTTTTCTGCGAGCTCCTCTTCATCTGTATAGGCTGCACTATGTATCCTCCATATCCCTTTTGAGAAACACAGTATAACAACACACTAGTTCTGTGGCATACATACAAACAGTACCTCTTCCTCAGGAGACATCATTACTTCTTGGCTTTCCAAGATTGGAAAAAGCCCGAATTTGTTGCCTGTTTCTCACACTGCTGCCAATCATTAATGCAATAGCATACTTTGCACTAGCTCCCCCAAATTAATACAGCATGGCATCCTCTCTCCCTCCCAAGACAGCACTAGCTGCCTTTATTGACTTAGGGCTCCGATTTGCATACACTGAAGGGAAATTAAACCAAACAAAAAATCCAAATCAACACACAACTGTACTAAAAAAACTAGGACTCCCAAAAGTGATGACTAGGTTATCTCACTGAAAGTAAGATCAATAGCATGCTGTACAAGAGTGGGTTCAGATTTATCAGTAGTTTTCTTTCAAATTCAGAGCTCCAAGTTCTGAAACAATCTTGTCAAATAAAGCATCATCATCTCTACCTAAATGGAGGCCACCACAAGCAGAGAGCCTGAATCATCTCAGAAAAGTCCACAAGGCAACAGAGAGGACAAGTTACTTGGGGCTACCTGCACAGCAAAGATTATCATTTGAAACATTCTCAGCCTCCTTTCAAGACATGTGTGAATTATGAAGAGCCAGTCGTCCTCCATCCCTTTTGTCCTTAAGGAAGAGTTTAATATTAATTTTAGCTCATTTTGAATCTACTTCTGGGTCAGGGCCCAGTCCATCTGCGACATTTTTAAAAGTGACAAATTAGATTAAAAACACACAGAACACCCACTCAGGATTCACTCAGTTCTTCCCTACTATGGGAACTCACGACAGCAAGGACACTACAGTTAACTGTGGAACTGCTTGTGTGAAGCTGCAACCTGCACGCAGACACGCAGAGGGTGAAATAACTCATTGTACAGCGAGCTGTGGTACACAGGGAAACCAGACAAGGCACTTCCTTTACTTTTGTGTTGTCCTCTCATTCACAATAACGTCCTTTAAGGCATCTGCTAGAGTCCTGTAGCATTAATGGAAATGGAAGAGCTCCAACGGGAACTCATGGGTTTCTCTCTTTTTCCCATGAACTGAACATGATGGAATTTTAACAGATGTTCTACATGGTCATAGTTAATAAAATGAATTATGCAGGAATTAAAAATCTGGCTCCATTTGCTTATATAAGATCTCAGCAGCAGAACTACATTCCCATTAAGAAATTCTAGAGGATTTACAGTGGATTTATAGTCTGCTCCTGCCTTGTTATGAGATGGCTGGAGATTTCACAAATGAACCCATCTCTTGTGAAAAACATGAATAAATTTACCTGTTCATTGACTGTTCTCAGTAGCACGATCCAGTTTCCACACCATGCATGCTGGTACACTACAACCATAGAAAGGGACAGTTCTCACTTGGATTTTCTTTGGAAATGACATCATGGGAATTCCACATCATTTCACAGCCTCCTATTTCTGCCATTTATTCAAAGTCTCATTCAGCAACCTAATAACCATACTCCCGCTTTGTGCTTTATCACAAAAGCTTTCCTCTTGGAGCACAGACGTCACTTTTGGGCTACTACTGCCAACAGAACGATGCACTGTACCTCACTTCCCTTTCGATTTAGGATTAGTTCAGTGTAACTACATCAAAGGAAGATGTAAAGACCAAAATGTAATGGAGATGTGAGATAAGAAGCACCAAGAAGTATGTAGGTGAAAAAAGTCATAACTAAAACTTCTAAACAATGAGGTTCACTCAAAGAAAGTTATTTCCAAAAGCATTACATATTTAGCTATCTTTTCTCTTCTAATATTCATCTGTACAGAAAGTATTCTGATAAGATAAAGGAGCTAAGTGAAAGAGTGAGAATCAAAAATGAAGGATGAAACAGTTACCTTGCATCAGAACAGAAGCAGCACAGCAACTAATGCAAATTACATGGAGCAGAATAAAGCTGTCTTGAAAAGATCTACTATGAAACAGTAAAGAGACAAGGTTTCAATACTGCACTGCCTTTATAATCAGATTCATTTTCACTTAAGTCCAAGCAATCAGCAAGCAGATCTCTAGCCAGACACTGAAATCCACTTTATGCAATATGCAAAATTTTATCCAGATGCAACAACTAAAATTAACCTTTCTTACATTCTTGCTTAAGAATTTTGCCAGTGCAAGAATATCATCATCTGAAAAGCATCAATATTCCCAGCTTCTTCCAATTACATTTTTAAGTGAACAATCATGCACTGAAGCCCCTCTATCTAAAAATCCTACTCCACTGTAACTAAACAAAGGGGTTTGTGTGAGTAAAGAACCAAAGCATGTAAACAAACTCTGTAAGTGTAATAGTCAGCTGGTATTAAATATCAGTCTATGTATGCTCTGCAGCTACCTGGATGTGTCCAATAATGAATTAATATAGATTTTTATCTGAAAATAAAGACTTTCTCTAAAGAAAGTAGTGTACTTAAAGAGAAGGGAAAATACCATGATTAAATGTCAGGCTTACAACAGTTCCAGCTGAAGGTTCAATATGCTATTCTTACTCGAGTAGACATTGCTTTACAATATTTAGTGTCAGAAAGATGCAACAGTCTTAACAGTGTTAAATTCAAAGATTTTTTTTTTTTAAAAAACATCATCTCTGATTTGTTTCATATTGAAGAGAAAGCACATTTCACTTAGTAATCATTTATTTCTCATTCTATTGGACAGATTCTCCCAAAAAGCAATACTTCAACTGAAATCAGTTCTGAAGGATCTTTTATGAATATACATAATGGAGAGGACCCCCATTAAATTTCCAAAGTGCTGCCATTTTGAGTAAACAAAGTTATCTCAGCAGGGTCACACACTATGCCATGAATATGGTCTGCAAATTAATTACCACCCTGACATATGTCAAAACAAATTTTAAGGAGAATAGCACCCAATGGTAACCATGTGTTTTATCTACCTGTTAGTATGCAAAACCTGTATTCAATGGCATCTAAATTTATTCATTTATTCAGAACCCCTCAGAGAAATCGAAATGATTCGTTGGCCTTTTTTTGCCTGTCTCCAAATGAAATCTGAGTAAATAACATGTGTTTAGTGAGCCAGAAAATAAGTACAGGACAAAGCTATGGTGGGGATTACATTTCAGAAAAGCAGGTGTCATCTCTGTGCAAATAACTAATTTTTTTAAACACTTAAATCTGCTAAAATAGACTGCAATGCCCTATCATTTCTCAGCACTTTAAGGAACACTAAATTTGGTATTTCTTATTTTAGGTAATATCCATCTTTATTCTGCAATTGTAACAAGAGCTGGCTAACAGAACTGTCCTAAAACCAGTTATCAGCATGAAGAAAGGCTTTTAAAAGCAGAGCTATTGAATGAAGGCTTTTTTTAAAAGCCTCTGCAACTGGCTTTATCAAAGGTAACACAGCCAACAGATCTGATCCTGTGTTTGAAAAACAAAAGCAAAGATCCAAACCTAGTTTACTCAGTTCAGTTATAGAACGAGAGGACAAACCCACACATCACATTGAACACAGCAAGTAAAGAACCCTTCCTGGACAATAGGCATTATATTTTCATAGGAATTGAGCTCATCTCTATCTGATGTACTTATGGTGCAGCTTCTGCTTTGTCAAAAGATGACTCCCTGGGATCTGATTCTGAAATGGTTTTAGACTGGGAGTTCATCAGTACATTTTTCCTACTTCGTTTATAATCTTCCTTCAGTCCACACAGCATATCAAACACTTCCATAACGCTAATCCTGTAATTCACAGTACATTTATGAAGAAATTTTAGTTTAGGAACTATTTCTTGCTAAGCAGGCCAAAGTATTTTTAGCTCCAGTTTTTTTTTCCAACAGTGAAGACTTCTGATTTAGAGTTAAGTAATGCCATATCACATCTACAGACTGGATGACTAAATGCATTTCTTTCACACATTAAAAAAAGCAAGCACAATCCTCCCTATATACAGATGACAGATAATCTCTTGGCATCTGCTGACAAATATATTTAAAGAAAGACTAAATCCGTCTGTGCCAAACTTGGCCCGATGCCACCAGTTCACCATTGTTGGCATACATACTTCACATGATGCAATCACAAGACTTGAGAAAGTTTCCAGTACTGTACTTTATGGTTTTAATCAACATATACATTTCCATCCTTTTACAATTTAGGAGCAACAGAACTGATAGGATAGTAGATGACTTTTTGCACGTATCCCAGGTTTTCTTAGTGCACATTATCAGACTAGTAACTCACCTAGAATGAAATACACTAGGATTTAGAGCTTATGGTTAGAGCAATTGATCTCAATTGTGCTATTATCTCTTGTTAGAAAACAAAGTGAGGCAAAGGAATCAATTTTAAAAAAAAATAAGACCGAAAGACAAGTGTTTTACCTCTCTTAATACTGTGCTTTTATAACCCCGATAAAGTCCTTGAATACCCTGTAAACCAACAAAAGAAAGCATCAGCTATAGGGAATTAGTTTGCCAAAGACCACAATTTATCGGTGATTACGAGGCAAGCATTACAACCTTACTGAGTGTCAGACCTGAACTTCTTGCAAATTGACTATATTGATTATAACATTGTCTACTGTATTCCATGATTTACAATGCCAAAGGGTTTTATGTTCATTTTAAAGATCATTTAACCACTGTTCAGAATAATCAGCTATAGAGAAGAAAATATACCTTACAGTTAAAATTAAAAAGGTAAGGCAGTACAGAAACACATTATTTCAAAACTCTACTTGCCCAATATTTTAGTCTAGAAGTATCCACTATCCCATAAATAATTTTGAAACTACCACTCTTCCGTTTAAATAGCTCATGCAAAAGGAGCCCATAGGATGGCAGCTTCCTACGTCCACCTTCTTAGCCTTGATTCAGCGCATTTATCAAGATAGATATTTTTTATTTTTACCCAGCTGATAATATTCGAAACAATTAAAATTTTATAAGTGTATAAAAAATTATGTTTAATATCTTATAGGACAGTTTATTCCAGTGTTTGGCAAGTCTTATGGTTCTCTGGCCAGCTACAGAGAAGAGGAAAAACATACAGTTTTGAGAGCATCAGCTTTTACAGCAGAATCACCAAGTCACAGACAGAAGTTCCAGCAACCCTCTTGTGCAGGGTTATCACAACAGTTTTCATTTACAAGCAAATAAAAATCAAGTGGATCATTTAAAGGTCAAGTTTGTTTCTTCCTTTTCCTGGCTTTTACACACGGAAATGTGTGTAACATTTTTCCCCACAGTGTTTTCAGGAGGCAATTTCTCTTACGTATTACAACTTTAAAAACACCCCTTGTGAGACTCAGTAAAAACAGTGGTGAACAGGTTTTTACAGCAAGGAACAGTGTCATCTTTTCAGTAGTTGCAAAAGCCCTTATTTTTCAGAAGTTACCAATACTAGATGAGCACTCATTTCCAGAGCTCCTACAGAGCCTCTCTGAAATGGTGCCTTTAGGACATACCCTCCAAAGCCTGCTTCAAAAACTGGAATCCATTCAGCAAACTCTAGATACAGCAGAAACTCGAGGATCTGCTGTTGCAGACAAGGACTGTTTGCATAAATACAAGCAGAGCTTTGGAAACTGGGAAGCTGAATTTTTTTTTTTTTTTTAATGTAGGGATCCCATATAAGAGGAAGAAAAAGTTGTTTAGAGTGTGCATGTAAGTTGAATGCACATGGGGGAGGTGGGGATTTGGTTTCCTTAAACATAGCATGCCAATCACTTTTGACAACAGAATAGATGGGAGAGTGCTGGGAGAGCACTGGGAGAGCACAGAACTGGAATAAAGTTGTAGGAATGCTTCTGGACGCACATGGCACTGTGCAAAGAATGAAGCAACTTCTTCGAAATTTTGCTCTGAACTCACCTCATGATACAAGGTGTGGGAGAGAATTCGGAGGGTACTCGAGGAAGGAGAAACCTGGGCCCTTTGCTTGACAACCTCAGATGGAACCCGTATGAGGCACGCAACCTGCAAAAGAACCATATGTTCAGAGCAATTCCTTTTGCTGTCTTACTCTTCATATAGTGGACACATTTGGAGATTGTTCCAAGTACAGAAATCTGAGAAATGAGGAAATAATTTTTGTAATTATTTCAGTTTAACTGAAAAACTGCTTATAAGCAGTTTATGTATTTGCTCTAAGAGCTATGTACTTTCTAAACACAAAAATGTAATAACAGAAAAATGGAAGTAACCTTGAAATTTTTAACTTCCAAACCAGAAGTAGATTTGGGTGAGGAAAATCACGGCTGAAACCAAAATTTTGAAGCCATCCTGCCTTTTGGCAGCCACAAGAATTCTCCCCCTCCACAATTTCAGAGATCTAAACTGGAGATTCACGACTTGAAGAACAATTACTTTCCTAGGTAGTTCCTTTATGCCCTCTAGTGACTGACAGCAAAAGACACCCCAGTCAGCTTTAGATGCAAACAATATATTCAAGAGTTACCTTAAAACACACACTGGATTTCATTCAAGGTGAAGCATCAGATCCATTCTTCCTGCACAATGAATTTACTAGGCAAGAAAGGCCCCTGCAGCTGGATGTAATAATGTGGCTGCTGCCACAAAGCTCCAGCATTTCTGAAAAAGCCAGACCTGGCTTTAAAACATTTACATGCCACTTCAGCTTCAGGTAAGAGTTCAGCTTGTGCGCACATAATTTTGAGAAATGAGAATCCTGAAGTGCCAGAGTTACAAGCCACTCATCTCTTTAGAAAATGCCTGTTTGTCAGCACTTAAACTTTCAAGAAGAGTTTGTCTTCACTTGCCCCCAGGAATACCTAAAGCAGTACTGGGACTGGAGGCAAAACACTGGAGACACAGTGGGCCTTTACCAGATTTTTGGCCTTCCTTGATCCCATCCTCTGCCAGGCTCAGGAACACACCGTGGTTTCTAGACATAAAGGTGATCACCAAGTACTTCAAGAGCAACCTAGGTGAAAGCCGCCCATCTGAAGTGGCAAACCAAGTTGCTAACTCAGAATCTCACATGTGCCAAAGAAAGGTCAGGAATTCACTGCCAGATTGCACAGAGACAGTAACTGGAGTGGTCATTTGTGGGTAACACAGTACAAGGTTTAAGTTCCATTTTCACAAAGAGACCAAGTCTGTTATCCTGTTACATTTCTACAAGTTTACCAGACAACAATATCCAAAAGTCATTACAAACAGATCTAACTCCATGTGCTCTTCAATTCTCAGGGTCAAAAATAACAAGTGACCCCAATCTGTCAAGAAAATAAGAACTGTCAAGTTTTTTGATAGTTCAGCATAAATATTTATAGAACTTCATGCTTCATAACACTCCATGTCCTTATATTAGCTTTTTATTCCTTAAAATATGGAGGCAGGAGGAAAGCTTTAAAAAGGCTCGGATGAAAACAATCTAGTCAATCAAGACCAGACAAAGAGCACAGCGTGGCTTCCTGACATCTGGGGTGCTGCAGTTTTGGCAGCAGAAGGGTGGCTACAAAGTAATGTCTCCATTTCCCCTGGACTACTTGGGGTGCATTTCATTTCGAATTAACTTTGATGTTTCTCCCATTTGAATTTGCGCTTACAAGGGAATCTGTGGCTGCACAAGAACAAAAACAGTGATTACATTGTGCTGTTATGAAAGGAAATAAAGGCTCATGTCACTAGGGCTGTGCTGTCAGATTAGCTCCATGGGGCACTTCTGGTATTAAAAAAAAAAAAGCTGTGAGCTGCAACTGCCAACATCAGGCTGAATGGTGACATTTCTGCTGCGCACCTGAACTTACAGCGTGTTACCTTATTTGTTCCTACATGTGTACCTTACTATCAATAACAATCGAAGCAGTCTTTTGATGTCAAACACGGGTCTCTAAAGGGAAGTATGCAAGATTAAGTTCACACATATCTTATTAGCTCACAAGGTTAAAAAAAGTAACAAGCTGGGACAGATGGGTGCATAAAAGTCTCAAATCTATTATGCTCAGATCTCAATCACTCAGCCTTCCAGGCAATGCTGCTGAAGTTAAAAGAACGCAACGCACATCTCCATGGTTTGCTTTCTTAGCTAAATGTGTTCAAGCAGCACCAAGAGAATTCATACCTAAACTTTCAGACATCTGAAAGCTATAAGCAAATTGCACGAGCAAGGGTAAAAGATGTAATTGTGTGGCTGCTTCACAATAACTGTCCGCATACATGCTTTTACCTGCATCAACTACTAGATAAATAGAGATGGAAGACAGACAATAACGTGACCTCTCATGGTGGGAGCCCATTCACCTCCCTAATCACCAAGATCCCAAGAAGAAATTGTTTTTTAATCTCTTGGTTGTTCACGTAGATGTAGGCTGTTGCTTGCCATGGAAAAGCATGATACTGCCAAACCTAGGCCACCCCTGGTGCATCCTGTAGTTTTGAAGATGACCTTGTGATAAATTAGCTGTCAAACATCTGCACAGCCAACCATGAAGAGGGTACAAGGGTGGGCCCTCAGCTACCTCAGCCGACATTAAGGCATCAGACAACAGCACCCTGTTGACAGAGACCACGCTCATTTTTCCAAGCAAGCTCTAGAGCCAGGAGTTATTCCCATCTTTTGATGGGAGCATAAGACAGAATCAAGATTCTACAGACCAAGTTCAGGGGAAAAAAATGGGTGCTGCCCTATAGGCTCCTTTCTTATTTACCAGGTCAGGTAATACAATTCTCCAGTTTTCAGACTCTCCCCCATGTCATGCACGTGTATACATACCACAAGGGCAGGAAGATGATAACATTGAAATAGAAGGCTCAAGGATTTTTAGATTTAAGCTTTATCAAAACTCAATTTTACATCTACAATCAAAGCTGCTGTTAGTTTACAAAGCAGGTATGCAGAATTTACAATATTAGCATTTACTATCTTTCTAGCCTTTTAATACTATAACCACTTCTGAACAAGAGAGTACTGAATTTCAAAATCCTTGTCTTAAATCATTACCAGGTCGAAGGTTAACTCCAGTATTTAGATGCAAACCTAAATACATTTTTAATCTAGTGACTTGCATTAGCCAAAAGCTAAAAATAGGATTATTTTGTTAACATTTATGTATGTATGGCTAAGACAGTATATCTTCCAATTAAATAAAGGTAGTTTTTCTTCCCCTCTGTCAGTTCAGAGATAAGGGTTTTCACTTTTGGATACTCCTTGCATGCATCTATGCTGCCATCTCCTGGTCGGATTCATGTTGGAACCAGACTTTCCTGGTCTGATCGATGTCTCAACTGATCATCAAGAATGACCAGTGCAATTACAGTCTCAAAAGTGCCTTGTGGTCAACAAAACCTCGTTATATACACAGATCTAAACAGTTTGTTTCAGTATATCTGAAACCTGTTTCTATGTGGCTGTGGCTAACAGAAAATAAGATCTGCTGCAAATAGCACCAGGAACCTGCACAAAGCCTTTTGCACAGGCTCACCTAAGTTTATTGGAAACATGTTAGTTTAAAGCACTAACTCTTGCATACGGGCAAATTCCACTTAAAGCAGGAGCAGCTGATCAGAATTAGACAATACTCATCTAATTCATCAGCACAAGGCTACCACACATTTTCCTCTAGACAGTAACACAAGACACATAATAAAAGAGAACACAGAGGAGATAGCCCTGTTTATAAGGGGTTCGGTACAAGTAGGTCATACAGGCCTTGATAATTCAATAGCCAGGGAAGTGTGAAAGCCCCAAGATATACATGGCTCACTGCTCTTTCAGTGAAACCAGCAGCAAACAGCCTACTGTGAAAACGTCTGAAGCAAACTCCCACCCAAAAGGAGACTTTTAGTATTTTTATTTTAATGATTTTGTTGTTAACATGACAAAGAATCTGAAGTAGATGGGTGGACTACAAAGACACCGTTGCATTGCCATTGCAAATTCTGGAGTAAACACTTCTCTGCAAACCACTATCACACCACTTCTAGTTCACTAGCAGGTCCTTGCTCCTCTATCCAGTATGTTCTGCTCTTCAGGCAAAGCCAAATATAAGACAATGACAACATCTTTAGAAAAGAGCACAATTCTTCCTGGTCTTCAGAGCTCTATTATTATTCAAATATTAACATATTCCATTTAGATTAACAGCCTTTTGCTTCCATCCTTTATGCTCCAGGCTAACCATTTTCTACATGACTAGTTTTGTAGGATTTAACAGAGAATCAAAGATAACATGCATTTGTTTTTAGGCACCTATACTACAGTTTGACCACTAACCCTGCAGGCATGATCTGTGCATGAGATGTATGCAGAAACATTTGAAAGAGGACAGAGCAGGTGCTAGAGTTGCTATTAAGGGCTTATGCTGGGTATTTACATTAGGTGGATGCATGGCAGGTTTTTCTCAGAAGTGGGGACACAGCTGGTACAAGACTATTAGCAGCTTTGTAGCTCTAAGGAGAGCAGCTTGAGAAAGCATTTCCTTATGCAGCCTGGCATGCACCTTGTGCAGCTGATCACCTGACTCACTCCTAAAAGCTCCCACAACCATACTTCTTATCTTTAGTAAGAGACAGGTATTACCCATGCTCTTAAGATAGGCTACTGAAGGGCAAAGACTAAGAGCCCATTCTGTTAAGATGCTGGCACCTGATGTGGTCCTGCCTAACTAGCTGATCTATTCTCTGCACTAACCCGGGCTTGGGTGAGGATCAAGACCAAGTTTTTTCCACTTAGTAATTAGCCAGCCATTCTGCTACAAAACAGGAGTAGTCTGAGGACAGAGAACTGTTCTGGAATACATTTGTGGCTGGCGATTTAAGAACCTGCACTCAATAACTCTGAGCAAATCTCTCGCTTTCAGAGCTAAACCTACTTTGAAAATTGGGTACAGAAACATGTAGCAAGCTCCAGAAAACTTTTCTGTGTGGTAGCTTTAAACTCTTTAGAACACTTTCTAGAGGATTTTAATTTTAAATTTCCCATGCAGGAGGTTAGTTTTAATGACTGAGTATGC